AGGGTTTCTAGAATCCTGTTTTAAAATCCAAAGAATGGCTGCTTTCAGTGGCAGGATAGCAATGAAAAGAAATGTCCAAAGATATCAGCTGCACAGTGAGAGAACAAGGGCTGATCTCAGCAATTTTGAGTGCAGAGCTTTATTTCAGTTTTAAATATCAAACTGAATTGGAAGAACTGGAAGCAGTTCCAATTAAAGCCTTTGGAGGGGTCTGGAATTTTTTATTATAGTGGAATATTTACTGGAAAACAGGTGGACTTAGTGAAGTTTCTCATGTTTTTCTTCTATGTATTTGCGTGGGCTATAGCAAAATGGGTGTCTTGTGAAGTGACAAGTGCTTTTTCCTTCCTTTGAGTGACTGTACAACTGTGGTCTTAATGCAGGTGAAGTAAAAAGGGATGTAAAAGTGCAATCTGGTTTGAAATAAATGTACTTATTCAGCAATAGTCACTGAATCTTGGCATTAGGTAAGGCAATCCTGTTTGTCAACAATGTTCTGAGCAGTTTAACTGTTTAGGCTGAGGAGAGGATGGAGAAACAGCAAACTGATGCTTATGTTCAGCGTTTATGAAGCTGTTCATAAACAAATGCCATAAGTGCTCAGTTTTGTGTCACTCTTGGCCTGTCTGTCAACACTGTGCAGGTCTCTACAGCAGGAGGCCTTAGTTAACCTGGAGGGGTTATAATCTAAATGGGTAAAACAAGGGAAGGCTGAAGTAGTTGGTTATTTTAGGGTTAGATTTATTGAGGGTGACACAGCTAAGTACAGATCTTCAGAAGTCTAAATCAAAACAGCTTTTTAGTAGCTACTATGGTTTGATTTGTAGATCTTGCTGTGCTTTATGTGGCCAGCCTGTCTGCCGGTGTAAGCTTCATTTCTTGGTCTCAAGAGCATCTTTCACTAGCACTGCAAAGCTCCTATTGTGCATATGGCTTTGTGTAACTTATAAAACAAATCCAGAGTTATCAAGTCAATGGATTAATCTTTATCTTTTAAAGTAGATGAAGCAGGTAATTGCTTTGAAATTCTTAAAGATGAAAGACTACCAGAAAGTTTATGCTCCAGCCTAGGCTCTGTCTAGCACTTTATTTCAAAGCAGGGTGAACTGTAACTGGAAGAACACCCCCCAACACCCCCTGCCCAAAATGTTTCAGAAGGCTCTTTTATAGTTTGACACTTAACACACAAAGCTTAATGTGGTGTCATTAAACCTGAGGGTAAAATAACAGGTTGAAATGAAATAGATTGACTAGATTTCTTCTCTTCCTGTCAGAGGAGGGTATATCTTGTTTGAGTATAGTTTACTTTCCAGCAAGTAAAGAGCAATATGGGAGAAGAGGAAATATTTATCACAGATTTAGGTGACTTGTCTGGACACTTATTCGTAGTGGGCTCTTCAGCAGGATGTATTGAGACTTCTGGCCTTAAATTTACATTCACTTAAACTGAAGGGAATTGAACAATATTTTAAAAGCAGCTGCATTCATCACAGGTTATTCCAGACACCACCGCTTTTTTTGAGAGGTTGTTGGATTTCCCAAGACTTTCTTTTCTGTAATGAACAGATGAATTGATGTCAGTGTCTTGACTGCCTCAAGGGTGTTTAATCTACAGAATGGGATGAAAATTCATCCTTGCCTACTCAGAGATGACTGAGGAGATAGCTTCCACTTGTGTTAGCTGAGGGTTTTTTTAACCTCAAGGAACTGTTAGATGTGAGCTTTGAACCATGGTCTGTAAACTCTTTCTTGGGATTCAGAGGTGGAAATGCAAGTAAACAAACAGTTGGCTCCAATGACTTCATGTTACTTTATTAGAGTATTTCTAGGAAAATTTCACTATGCCCATTTCTGAACCAGTGCTACTAGCCTGTTTGTAAACACTGGTACTTCTGCACTGATACTGCCCTTGTAAATCCTGTGCCACACTGTTTCAGCCTTGACTGTTCTGTACTGCCTGGCTATTCTAGGGCTGCAGGGGGCCATGCTCCTTCTGTTGCCACTAAAGAAGAGATGCCTTGTCTGAAGCTTCTGAGATTTCACTGAGGGCACACAATGCAGGGATTGTGTTGTGAGCAGACTCCTGCATTCAGAGGGTTCATGTGGTGTTGATATGTAAAAGATTCAAGTGGTGCTTGTAACAGCTCTGCAGGGAAGGTCAAGTACATAGGCCATTAAGAGCTGGGCAAGCTTTAGATGCAATCAGACTGTAAATTTGTTTGCTATTGGATGGATTATATTATACTTGGATTATAAATCAGGTAGTGCTGTAAGGCTGACCTTGCAGTTTCTACTGGCTGGTGTTGAGGTGTGATGGAGAAGGAAGGATTTAAATATTCTCTGCACTTACCTCTGTGATGAGCTTGTACTGAATCAAGTTGGTCGGTATTTTACCTAAAAGGCAGCTATTCCTTTAATATGACTAGGTAAAGATATGGCACCTATATTGACAGAAAGAAGAGTTATCTTGACTATTAGTAAATTTTTTTTAATTGCAGTTGCATAGTGCAGTGGACTTAGGGCAACTGCCTACTGGCAGCAGCACTAAGTTTGTGTTGCCAGAAAAATGTCTAACTTGAAATCAGCTTTGTGTTAGATAACACAGCAGTTACAACAACCATATAAAACCAGTCACAATTACACTGAAAAGTTGCTAAGGATCACTTGTCTTCCAGAAAGCTTATCTACTACTGTAAAAGCCAGACTACTCTTGAACTAGAACAAAATAAACTTCTCTGCAACTTAAGAGCAAGCTGTGTTATTACTGGAGCACTTAAAAGTTCTCAACCTATCTCACTGTGTAGTCCATCTGTGGCTCTTAAACCTTAGGTGTCCATGTCAAAGCAAGCTGAATTCTAGTTTATCATCTGTAGAACATGTGGACCATAAGCAGAGAAAGACTTTCAGCAGCAGCTTCTGGAGTTCAGATGCTATCTATTGTGGTGTTTTCTTCCAGTTTTCCCATGCTCCCCTGGCAGGGAGCTCTGTTTCCATCCCCCCCCTCCCCCCTCTAGTGACTAAGAACTAAAAATCAAGCTTGCAATCCTCTTCTGGTTTGGAATCTCTGGGGTAATGGTTGAAATATGTGTGTGCTGTACAGGGAGAATCTCTGAGAGTTAGGAGTTGTCACATACCATTTCTGTGCTAAGGAGTGTCCTGGCTGAGGGAGCTGATGTATAGCATAATATAGAAGATCAGTAGAGGGAAATATTTGTCTTCACTTAGGTTTATCCCAGAATGAACACTTCAACATAATTAATTTGCATTACTGTACTAAATGTGTGTAGCAAATCTGTGAGTAAAATACTCAGCACGGAAAAGTACTACTGCTCAGATGTTTGAAAATGCTGTCCTGAGGGCACTTCTTGATTGTTGGCATGTTTGTTCTTGTATGTGGTAGTCAATGAGAACTTAGTTTGATTTGTTGCTTTTCAGAACATCAAGTCATGGCAAGGGGGAAAAATCTTCACCATCAGCGTACCACAGGGCAGGTTGCCCAGATTGGTCATGGAACTGACAGCCTCAAAATGCAGGGCACAAACTGGATTGCTTGGAGCAAACTGCTTTATAAGGGAGAGGTTATCCAAAGGTCCTTTCTGGGCTAAACAATCCTATGGTGTGTTTGTAGGTTGACAATCCCTTAATCCCTAGTTAATTTTGCTTAGGGCAGTTGGTTATCCTGAAGTCTTTTCCAGCATAGTACTCTTAACTTCTACTGTAGGTTTTGTATTTCCATCCAGAAGACCATAGTGCAGCATGTCAGTTCCAGTGTCTTTCTGGAATGATCATGTCCAGGCGGATTTGAGACTCTGGTAGGCTTGTTGCTTCTGTGCTTCTAGAATAATGGGCACTGACATCAAAAAAAAAAAGGCTGGTATAGCCACTTTCCATAATGGTGTCTCCTGAATGGTCTGCTGTTCTCCTTACAGAACTCTGCTAGGGTATGAACAGCTGGGGTCCAGTCCTTAGTTGTGTTGTGAGGGCACAAGTGTTGCTGTCCTTGCAACTCCCTTATGGTGACACATCCTTTTGTATCAGTCACTTCTGGTTTTGTCCCCAATGTGCTGTTCTTAAAGCTGCTGCTCTGTGCTAATCAGGGCGTGGCAGCTGATGCTTGTGTTTGTCACAAATACTGTGTCCAGCTACTCTTAAAAAAAAAAAAAAGCTGCAGTATTTTTAAAGAGGTGTCCAGCACTTAATTGCTCGGTTTGCATAACACACAAACAAAAGCTTGTTAGCTAGTACTTCTTTATTGAAGCTTAATCTTTTATGGCTTCACCACAGCAGAAGACTATGAACTGAGAATTTCTTGCCAGTAAACCAGGATTATTTTTTTTTTCCAAAAGCAAACTAGATTTGCAGCATCAAAAGGCAGGAAGAGTATAAGATAAATGCTAATGCAGTGTCATAAGACTTTCTGCTGGAAGCTCTTGCAACTTGTTCCTGCCAGAATTTACTGTGTATTTCACTTTTCCTAGCCTATGTAGAGAGGAGATCAAAAGTAATTTTCTACCTACAAGTAGTTCTAAAGTATAGCTCTGATTCTGGATGGAAAGTAAGCTTCATCAACATTAAATAAATATTTGAGAAAGGTGTAAAGCCTTATAAAAAGAACAATGAGCAACACTTAATTTCATGTTTGAGAAAGTGTAGGGTTTTTTTCTTTGGAAACTGCTCTAGATAGAAGTCATGTAGGATGGGTTTATGAATAAGAACAGCTTGTTCAGCTAGTAGCTGCTTTAAGAAACCTTTGGCACTTCTGTTAATGGTACTGTTGTCACAAATAGAAGGTATTTGTTTTAATACCATGTTCTTACTCATACTTTAGACATCAGTAATGTATTATAGTTTGCTTGCCAGTGCATTGAAGTGGCCCATTCTTCAGGCTTGCTGGGTAGGGTTTTAATTTGATCTTTCAGCACTAGTGAGATGTTTTACCTGCATGCTACCATGATGTCACCGGTGTCATGGATGGTGACTCTTTTTTCTGTTTGCAGATCTAATTGGTTGCCTGGCACTTAATCTGTGGCAAGCAGGACAATGGCTGCCAGCAAGAGCAAGAACCAGAGTTCCTTGGCCCTCCATAAAGTAATTATGGTTGGCAGTGGAGGCGTGGGCAAATCTGCACTCACTCTTCAGTTTATGTATGATGAGGTAAGTAGCTTTGGGGATACATCTTAGTAAACTTTAATGGAACGTGGAACTAGTTGTAAGTAGTAGACGACCTGATGACCTGACTGGCAGGAGAATAATGTAGGAATCTGGGACAGGTGCCCTCTGAGAACATCTTTGGCTACAGGTGACAAAGTTGATGCTTATTAGTGAAAGAACAGTCTTCAAAAAAACATGCATGATGCGTGCTTGTCTGAATGTACGGAGACTGTTACTGTTGCCATTGAACTTTAATTTTGCTGCAGTTTCTTTTAGGGCATTTAAGTTTGAAGTCACGAATAACCATTGTAGCTCACTGAGCCAGATGCTTAGGCATTTTCACAGCATGAATTCTTCCATACTGGTATACAGTAAGCTAGGTCAGACAGTCTGGACTAGTATGTGAAGGAATACATGATCCTGTAATTCAGAAGTTAGTATTTACCTATAGTCTGTCCACACATACTGTAGTGATGTGAATATCTGAACAGGTGACTAGTTATTCATTAAGGCTACCCAGCTTAATCAGGCTCATGGAACAGCCTTTTGTTGCACTTCAGGGTTGAGAGAAAGGAGTGGAAAGGTGAGGAGCTTATGTTGGACTTGTACTGTCAGCACACAACTAAAAGTTGAACTGGCAGTGGTGTTGTGGGTCTGATCAATATTGAATAGACTAAAGTATGTGCCTGTGTAATTATGGAGCCAGTTTTCATGTTTAACAGGTAGATGCTGTCACCTACACCTGTTGAAGCTTCAGATAAATGTACCCTACCCGAAGTACTCAAAAGCTTTTTCTAGAACTGGGAGATCTAGATAATGCCATCAGCTTGCTGGTTGCTTATACTGTATCTTTGACCCTTAAGTTGTGCTGAAATTTCTGAACAGCGTTTCATGTAGCAAGACAGTTTCTCTTGACTAGGCAGACTGGCTCTTTGATGTATTAAGTGCTTAAATAATTTGGTTTTTAAAGTAAAACTAAAAAGAGAGGTGGATCTTAACTGACAATTATGAGAAGATTTTGAGGAATTTAAATGCCACTAAAATGAAAGAATGATATGGACAACTACTGAGGCCATTTGACAGTAATTCTAAACATTAATCACTTTCTTATCAACTTTAGTTTGTAGAAGACTATGAACCTACCAAGGCTGACAGCTACAGAAAGAAAGTAGTTCTGGATGGTGAAGAAGTTCAGATAGACATTCTGGACACAGCAGGACAGGAGGATTATGCAGCTATCAGAGATAACTATTTCCGCAGTGGGGAAGGGTTTCTTCTAGTCTTCTCAATAACAGAGCATGAATCCTTCACAGCAACAGCAGAGTTTCGGTAAGTAGTTTCTCTCCCAGGCAGGGGGAAATATCTGGTTCCTATGTTGCTCTGACAACTCCTGGAAAGTTACATCTCTTTATCCTTTGTCTGTTACCACTTGGTCAATAAAAGTGGCAACCCAACCATTTTGCCCTCGGTAACTGATAACTTAAATCACAGTATCCAGCCTCTGGCTCTAGTTGTCTTCATGCCTGCAACTTATGAGTACATTATGCCAGCAGCAACTTCAGGCAAGTAACAGATTCTTGGACTCCAAAAACATGTGTATTCAAGCCAATTTTCAGTCTTTGTGGATGTGAAGTTTAATTATCTTAGAGCAGTACTTCTGGAATTAAGTCTGCCTTTTGGCCAGGTTTCAGACACTGTATTGCTTACTGCTAGAAGCAGGTGCTCTAAGGAAAGGAAGGATTAGCCTCCACTCTCAGGTATGGATTGGTGCCAAACAAGGGTTGGCAGCCAAGCAGTACTATTGTAGGCAGATGTATTCCTAGAAAGACACACAGCAGTAGTAAATGCTTCCATTTTTGTTCTTGAGATTAGCAGTTCTAATGTAAAAATCAGCACCAGACTGAGCACAGAAACTGCTTGTAAAAGAAAAACAATGAGTTTAAACCATTTTTCTGGTCTCAGAACTCATGTAGACAGGTTCTTCAGGGCAAGTGTTCTAACTCTTATTTGATAATAGCTGTTGCATCAATGTAGAAGGTAATCCAGAGATTCCCTAGGACAGCTGTACAACTTGAGGTAAAACTTCCCAAAACATAAGAAAAGTATTAGAAGTTCCTTATGTTTGCCAGAATAAAAGCTCTTTATCAGTCTGGCTTATCCCCACTTTGCCTCAGTGGTACAGGGTTAAAAGATACTAATTTGTAATGCAAGTGCTGGTGGTAAGGTAGACACCTATTCCTAGGGTTTTCTTAAAACTATAGCAAGCTCCCCTTGCACTCTAGGACTTTGGTCTGGCTTCTTAATGTATTACCCTGTTCCAACAGTAGTAGGAGACTGCATAATCTTTTAAGAGGTATAAAAATATTGATCTTTTATCTCTCAATACTTCTGTGACTTGGCTAGACTTCAGAAAGTTGACAGTCATGGGGCACACAAGCAGAGTGGTTCGGCTCAGTTTGCACTAACTGGAACACTGAAAGGAGCTAAACAGTTGAACTGTTGTAGGACTGAAAAACTGAGTACTTGGACTGCTCCTAGTAGAAGATAAAGTCAGATACCATCCAAAAAATGGGAAGAAAATGAGACACTTGGAAGTACCCAGCCAGGGTTTTGGCTTGCATGCTTAAGTGAAATATAAGGTTAAACCCAAGGCTTAAGGCTTTGGATGAAAAGGAGTAGGAGTGTTTATCTTGGCAGTTTGTGTTTTCTGTCAGACTTGTGTAACTAGGTTAACTGTGTGTTGGTTCAAGATTCCAGCACAACAAAACAATGAAAAAGCAATGCTAGCCCTAAAGATGAGTAAGAAGGACCTAAAAGCTTTGAGACAGAGAAACTCTACTTTTCAGTGGTTCAGAACTAAACAAATAGTGAAATTAGTTAAATGGAATATTTAATTAGGCTGACATTCAAGAACCAGCTATTTGGAAAAGCCTTCCTCAGGAAGGAGTGGGGATTGGGTACTATGAGTCACCAACATTGCAGGGTAAACTGCAGATTGGTATTGATCCTCTAACTTCCAGAATTCTTAAAATACAAAGAAGTTGAATAATGAATGAACCATGGGCTTGCCTTTAAACCCTAGCTTGCCTGCTGATGCTATACATTCAGTGTTTGCTTTTGGTGCTTCTCTAATCTGAAAATGTGTGAAGGTACAGTTGAACGCAACAGCAGATTGTCTGCTTCAGTGTTAACGCTATTTTAGATTCTCATGTACTCTACATACATTCAGTTATTTTGTGGATGGAAAGTGCAGGCATCTGAAGTAGTGTGGTAAGTCAGTGGAATGAGGGGGTGTAGCACCATGCTTATGCATAGTATGGTTCTTGTTCATAACAAAATGAAGCCATCTGAAAATAACTGTGGACTGGTACAGTTCTTCCAGTGTCCTAAATGGACAGCAACATGTGTCAATCTGGTTTCAACCTGTGTTTTACTCCAATAATAGCACAGACTTTGATTGACATGCAGCATCGTTGTCTCTCTTCCTGGATGCTGTTAGGCCCTTTTAGAACGACAAAGAGATAGCTAGGTTAATGCTGATGGTTCAAATATTTTCTTGGAGTCTCTGAAGGAGGAAGGTTGCTAGTATTTTAGTTCAGCACTATTTAGTAACTGTCTCCTTTGTGTAAAGTTTAGGTAGCCATTAAGAATGATTTCTGCCAGCTACTTACGCTGTTCCCAACCTACTACCTTGACAAAGCCTTGATGTTGCCCAGACCTGTATTGAGGTGGGATGTAGACTGGAAATTGAAGATGGTGACTGAATACTAAGGTGAAACTTGACAAATTTGGCACTTAACTCTTTTCCTCATTCAGATGTGAATTCCTGTTGAGTTGCTCTTCTGCCACACAGTTCTTCTTTTGGAGCCTGGTTAGTAAACTTACTAACTAAACAGTAAAACTACCTTCTTGGACATGTGAGGCTTTTATTAGTGTTAAGCCCATAACATTAGTATGGTAAATTTAAAGTAATTTTAAAGTATGTCTTCAACTGTTGGGAAATGCACTGTTAGTACTGTTGTAAATACTAGTAATGTGCAGATCACTTGATCCACTCCTGATAAGGGTGAAGTTTTTGTTGCTACTACTAATGGAGATATTTTTGTTTTGAATGCCTGATGCATTAGGGAACAGATCCTGCGTGTGAAGGCTGAAGAGGATAAAATCCCTTTACTGGTAGTGGGAAACAAATCTGACTTGGAAGAGCGCAGACAAGTGCCTGTAGAAGAGGCTAGAAGTAAGGCAGAGGAGTGGGGTGTGCAGTATGTAGAAACCTCTGCCAAAACTAGAGCAAATGTAGATAAGGTAAGACAAATGACACCTGCTCAGTTAGACTGTTACTGCTTGTTTAGTAGCTGAGTGATTAATTCTTGACTCTTGCTGGTACAAAAGCAAATCCACAGTTGGGCTTCTAAAAGTCTAGATTATAAAAAATGTGCTGGAATGTGTACACTTAAGCAAATACCTGGCTTAGAGGAGCCAGAGACCTGGTACAAGTTAATGCTGTTGTCTTGTTTTAACTGTTTGTACCTGAACCGATAGTTTTCTGATAGTACATTGGGTAAATGTGTTTAAGGATTCCCTGAAGTATGGGTGTTGTTTATAGGTTGTGTCCTATTATTATAATAGCAATAAATAGCAAGGTGTAGACACTTATGAATTGCTCCTCCTTCCCTACAAAGCTACATATGGTGTGGCTAATGTTCAAGATTTCATTCTTGTTTTCTGCTGATACTACTTTGAATAAAGAACTCCTCTTGCTGTGTCCCTGTCCTGTTTTCACTTGTCATGCTGGACTAGGACAGTCATTCTCAGCATGTTTTTGCTGCTGGCTTCTTGCATAAACAGTGGTGGTGGGTTATTCCAGAAGAGAGATGAGTTGTGATTGTGGAGTGTTTGCCCAGTAGTAAGGAAAAATGAGTTTAAAGCCTCCCCTTCATTCTGTGTGTAGGGGGTGATTATTAAATAGGGTGCCTTTTTACTTTACCAATCTGGAGGAGATGATCTGAAATGACTGTTGTGTCCCCCAAGGACTCCAGAGGTGTGGTTTGGTAATCTGCATTTGATCAGAGATTACAAACTGTAAGCAGTTTTCTTTTTGGACAAAGAAGATTTGCAGCTAGCTGTACTCTTTAAGGTCTTCTCAACAGCTTCCTGTTCTAGTCTATATTAGTTTACTAATGGAAATGCTGTTGATGCATGTTACATAGTAAGAACTCTATTTCTCTTATTGGTTAAAACAGTGTATATGAAACATGGTTTATAAGGGACATGGCATAATTTAAACTTGATAAAAAAACATTCTGACTTGCAGAATGTTACTAGAAGGTCACTGTCAGATACATAAACTGGGTGATGTAGTAAAATGCAAATACCTAGACTTGCTGTCTTATGTGACTAGCAAATGCCTCACCTATTTTATACTTAGACTGGCTTTCTGATCAGTTGGGATTAACAGCAACATAGCTGTGTATCTGGAGTGTACTTAGCACAATGTTGTAGACTTGCTGTCATAAGTCTTCTCTAGCTAGCTTGTGTGACATACTGGTTATTCTCTATGTAAGTACTGTTTTGTGTATATTAAAACAAGTTATTGGCCATTGATGATGATGCATTGATCTGTAGCAGAATTAAAAAAACAAATTAAAGTTTTGAGTCAAACCATCCTATTTCTGATCAGTAGCATGGTCTTGTTTCCAAGTATCAGACTTGTAGCTCCCCATTTAAACACCACGCCCCCCCCAACAAAACCAAACCCTAACTGTAGAGTGACAATAAGGTCTTGTTCTGTAATTGTAAAAAAAATTCCCAATGATTCTTTACAGTAAAACAGCTGTTGCATATTAAGTAGTATGTTCTTAGACATCAGGCATACAGGAGTGGAATCGGCTAGAATTTTGGAGAAAACATTGCAGTAGTGACTTTCTGAATCTTTTGTATAACATAATCTGAGAAATTTTTTGTGCCTGACACTGTCACTTGAATGTTGCATCTTTTTAAATTAGAAAACAGACAAAATACTGCTAAGCAGAGTGTGCTTGTAACTACATGGAAAGGACTAGACTAAATGCTTTGCATAGTTAATGAATGATTTGCCTGGAAATGTGTGCTAGGTACAGACAAATGTTACTGCAAACTCTGAATGCTACTTCTGTGCAAGACTGATATTCAGTAAATAGCTCTTAAAACAGGACTGTTGAATGATTTGATAGCCTGGTAAGATTGTGCTACTTTTTGCTGCTGCTTGACATGCTACATAATCCTGATGTTCAGTTTGTCACTGGGATCTATGTCTAGACTCATTTCTGTCGTATTAGGCAAAGTGTGATGCTACATCTTTATTTGCTGCTGAATATGGTAGTTTTTATCTGTTTTCTGGTGGCAGATCTTGTTTAATCTTTCTTTATTTCCCCCTCCTAGGTATTTTTTGATTTAATGAGAGAAATCAGAGCAAAGAAAATGTCAGAAAACAAAGACAAGAATGGCAAGAAAAGTGGCAAGAACAAGAAAAGCTTTAAAGAAAGATGTTGCTTACTGTGATGCTTGGGAACTGTAAATATCTACAGGTGGCATGGATAAGATACCACAAAGGATATAGGGCTGGATTCATGAAAGGAAGTCTGTATTGACTCCCTTATCTCTTGCTTTGCATATCTCACCTTCAAAATGTGAAAACAGAACTCTGAAACCATTTCTGGTATCCAACAAAAACCTATGCCTACTTAAACTGAAATGGGCTCTGTCTTCCCAGTGTCTTTCAAAACTAGAAACAGTTTCAGTACTACAATCCTTCTGCTTGGTTATACAAAGTACTTTCATATTAACTTGCTAGATTACTCTAATGTTTCTCTGAATATGTTTATCTTGAACCTCTACTGGCCTTAACAAGAACAGCTGTTCAGGTTCAAACATTTTTTTTCCAGTATTGCTGTCCTCCTTGATGTTGCAAATTGCAGAATAGCTAGATGACATCTGGTAAAGGGTTTGAGTCTCCATGTTCTGTTAGTTGTCACTGATATTTCTTACACTGAAATCTGCTGGCTTCTTCCCCATGCTCCATGTAAGAAATAGCAACTGACACAAGTCAACTCAACAGAAACTTTCTTCCATGTTCTGTTCAGTCAATACAGCATTCATGAATCAAGCCTATGGACTCAATTCAGACCTATTTAGTCAATGCAAAAATTGATATTTAAATACTGGCTAGATGCATTCCTGCTGGTCTGTCTTCTCATCCTTAAATTATTGGCATGGGGTGAGAAATGACTGTAAGCCTTTCTTCAAAAGGAATAATACTGTCACCATCTCCTTGAAATGCTGTTCTGGGTTTCTTCCATGTATTGTGGCTAGACTCAGTTACACTCACTCTACATCTGTCATCCTTTCCCTCCCTGGTACTGGAATAGTGAAAATGAAAGTGTTGATTTCAGTGGTTTTGTTTATATTGGAACACTTGTGATCATGTTGGAAAATGGGAACATCTGTATCTGTCTCTTGTGATGCTGAAGATGAAAACTTTTGAGTAAGGATGGGTCACATCACACAATCATGACTTGGAACAGGTGAGGCATAGATGCTACCTCTCAATGATTAGCTGACTTGTGAGTTGTATGGTGTCAAAAAAGCAAATGAAATTAAGCAGTTGCCACATCTGTTACACAATTTTATATGTACTTTTTCTGATGCACAGCAACCTAGCACATGGGGATGCATGTTGAGTTTTGCTGTCAGTTATGAGATGGTGGTCATGTATTGATCAACAAAGACCAGTCTAGAAGTGGAAAAGTCAGTACTTAGCAGGTCCTCTTGTCAGCTGACTGAACTGAGGTTTCTGATGCAGTTTAAGTGCAGTTGCCAAAAAAACACTTCTGTCACTGCTGTGGAAAGTAACTGTCTCTTCTATTTGTGGAGTCCCTCAATGAATGATGGCATCTCCTATTTTGAAGGAGTAGTGACTGTACCTTGTTAACTGGATGCTTAAAACAGTTACTTGAAATGAATATGCTATGAGGTTGTTCAATGCACACTGCAGCACTAAATTAACAAATGATGTTTCTTGAGGTGAGTAGTGAATACTACTCAGTACTTAGTATTGTAATTTGAAAAACATTTTTTAACATGTACTAGATTGCCTTGTGCATTCCACCTCTGAACTCTGGAAAAAAAAAAAAGTGTTAGATATCAGAACCTCTGGCCTGAGCTTTCACAGGGACTTATTGCAAACTCATTGTCTTCCATAACTAGTACAACTTGTCAGGCAACTCACTGGATTGGGGAAACTGTACTTAATAAAAGGTGCTGTAATCTTCTTTCTTGTGAAGTTAAATTCCTTCTTTCTTAATGTTATATTGTATGTGCAGAAAGAATGGTTAACCAATTCTGGAAATAATTCTCTTTGAACAATGTAATTGGTATTGCCAGGTATAAGCCAACTTAATACAGTTTTGAAGCAGAGGCTGGGAGCCTGCTGGCTTGCAGAACTTGTTGCTTGAGCTGTATCACCTATGTCTAAAGCCTAAACACCTAATGGCACACTTGAAGCTGTAATTCTTCTAACATTTTTTTTTTTTAATTTCCATGGATAAAGTCTGGGTTTGAGTGCATATTGTGTATACAGCAAGTGTCTCCTTCCAGAGGAAGGCAACTCATTTACGTTTGGTTTTAGTTAAGACCTAAAGCTTACGTCCTTAACCTAAAAGATAAACAACAGTTGAGTTCACATTACAAGCTTATCTTGGTCAAGCCCCTCTGAGGTGGATTGTGAAATGTGTCTAACAAAACTGAATAAACTTTCCTTGCTATATGAATAAAGAACTCGGCAAACCTCACAATGAGCAGCTCAGCTGTATTGGCTCAAAAGACCTACATGCCTTGGCCTTTGGTCTCTTTAGTCTTAAAATACCTGACAGTATTTGATAGGACAGATGAATTTCTACTCAGAACAGTGAGTCTTCAACTGGTGTTCTTACAGTCTGCGTGCTGATCTCACTCAGGTTTGGGGTTTTTATGTAAACTGATAACCCTCTACTACTGAGGTAGACTTACTTGGGAGAAGGTGCCTGCTGCTTCAGTGACTGATTCTGCATCTCTTCAGTGTTCTGTGCTTGTCACCTTTTCCAGAAAGGCTAGGCCTGGAAACTAATTACAGCAGCTTTTCAGTATTCCTCTTCTGTGCTTGTGACAAACTTCAGTTTAACTTCCCAGTTACAGCTGTAAACATGATAAACAAGGCAGCTATCTTGGCTACTTCCTAATAGTGGGCAACAAGCATTCTGACTTGTACCAGGAAAGCAGTAAAACCGCTCCCCTGGACCAGAATCCTGTTGCCTCCACCTTATGTGGTGGAAGTGCCTGAATTCATGCCCTTCTAAATAGGGACAATATGAGGGTCACTGAATGAATTCCAGGTGTGCTTCACTGGACACCAGTGGACATCAACATCAGGTGAGTTGACTGAGTGAATAAAAAATGACACAGAAAAATGCTTCCTTTGGACTTGAGGGCTCCCTGTGTGCAGAGTAAAGGAGGCTTTGGCTTTTAATCTAAACAAGTGCTTGCAGATCAGGTACATCACACAAGGAGGACTTTGGCAAGAGGGGGACCGTGTGTGTGTGGCCACCTGCTAGCCATACTGTGTAGCAGAGGCAACTGAAGGCTGTACTGAAGCTAATAATATTCTAGCAGCCTTTGCCTCTTAGGTAATTAAAGAGCGAGACTTCTCTTTGTCAGTATAATGTGCTCTTAAATCTTTTTGGAGCATGGCTGTGGGCAAGTAACTGGATATTTGAAGCTGGAGGTCATGCAAGACTTGACTATGCACTTGCACTTAAGCATCCAAATATTATTATTGTGTAACGACTTAAAGTCAGGGAGCTGTTTACTGCTATATGCAATCTTCCATGTGTGACTTACCTGTGGGTATTCAAGTGCTGCAGTCTTCCTCCTGGTTTGAGCAAACATCAATGAGACAAGCCCCCTTTATAATGGGGACTAAGTCGTCATAGGAAAAAAAAGCAGGTTAAACTTCAAAGTGCAAAGGCAGACTTGCCTCTTTTTTTTTTGTTGTTGTTGTTTTTTGAGGAGCATCTCTCCAGATGAGACTGCAGATGCAGCATTAAAGTGCATCTTTCAATGATTTGTGCCATATATGTTCTGTACAAACTAGTACACATATACTGCAATTTCTAGGCAAGTGCTTGGCTTGATGAAGAGAAAGATGTATGCATACACTTACTGGGCATTGAACCTCAGTAAGATATTAATAGCTATCGGAAGTTCCAGTAGAATTCTGTCTGGCTAATATAATGCTTGAGAGTACTCTTGGTCTAAGGTACAAAGCTACAATCTGGAATGCATCAAGAGGTGGGGGGGAAATGTGTCTAAATGTTCACCAAGATCTTTTTTTAAAGCTTTCCAAAGTGTTAACCCAGTACTTGGGGCTGACAGGTCTATCAATTCTTGCTCAAAAAGAGGATACTGTTTATCAATTCAACTCAGAGCTTGTGTAGACAGAAGCTTTCTTTAATTGCTATAAGCATATGTTGCAATGTTCACCTCCTGTTGACTTTATAGTTGGGAGAAGGAGGGAAGAGGAACAAAAAAGCTATGATTTTCACCATAATCTCCACACTTCATGGGAATGGCAGGTGTTCCTCTTGGGAGGGGAAGGTGTTATCTCTAACACCAAGAAAGAGGTTTAGCGTAGAAGAAGTGATTGGTGATTGCAAGATTTAATAAAACTGCCTCTAAACTATGTATGTTATACTATACAATGTAAATTCTTTTTCTTACATGGCTTCAGAGCTTTGTCTCTAACTTGCACAAACATTTTTAATGTCTATAAAACTCGTCACTTTTCATTATCATGCTAATACAACTGATTTGTATTACTATTGATAATAAAAAGAAAAACAGGCATAATATTTGTTTGTTATTGATTTTTACAGCATTCTAAATGCATGTCTAATCCCCAGATTCTTGAACCAGGCAACTGTGAACTAACCTTTGTATCAAATATGTAACATGATTATATTGCGAACTGTGGGAAGGGAGGGGAGGAGGATGTGATGACTGAGGACCCCATCATCAGTTTTCCAGAAATGGTCTGCATATGTTTCAGGACTGAACTGGTATGGTAGTTTGATTCATTCATAGTTAATTTTCCACAGCCTAATTGGATCAGACAGCTTATATCAACTGTGTAAATGACAGAGTTGCTTCTCTCCTTTAGTCAGTGTTGTGGCTCAAATAAGAATAAGCAACACTGTGTGGAAACATTGATCCTTAGTCCTCTGAGTGTGCCAGACTATATTCTTTGTGTTGGTTTGTGCTGAACAAACTGCAGCAGAGAAGCCGAGATGCTTCTGAGGCAGAATGGTTCAGGACAGTCACTGCTGTTACTCCACTTAATTCAGAGTAGCATAGAAATGGGATTTGCAGTAAACTTTGGGTGCAGTTTCTGCTGTCACTGCTGTACAAGTTGGAAGCAGAACATCCCCTAGCTGATGACATCTGGCCAAGGGTTACAGCAATTTACATAATCTTGTGGTGCTTGCCTGGTGCTTGCCCTGTGGTTCAGATTGCCGTGATGGTTTGCATAGCTGACCTTTCCAGAGAAGCAATTTTTCAAATGTTCTGCAGCAGAGAAAGGGGGGTAGCATGAGAAGTTTTGTGTGGGAGGCAGGAGAGGGTTCTGAGCGCAGCTGTATTATATAGCTGTACCCCAAGCCCAGAATGGCACCTTCTTTGGATATTCTGTGGATGCTTGTGAGGAACAGGCCTTCCTGAAACTGCAGCAGGATGAAACTGGAGAATGATTGCACAGATAGAGCTTGGCTTCAGCCTTCATGCTTGCCTGTGTTCTGCTCCAACCCGACCAATTACCTGGCGTGGGTCAGTGTGCTGAATGCGCGGATGGTTCCTGGGATGGTACAGGCACTTCTTCCTGAGAACTGTTGGCTCCACCTTGTGGCTTTAAGAGTCAGAAGCTCTACCATGGAGAGGGGCTGTTCAGCATGCTCAGACGAGCATACAAGTAGCTGCTGTTAATATGCTACCTGAATTACATGTAGAAAGCCACACTAACTAGGTTCTGTTCTCGTCGCTCTGCTGTATGATTCTCTCATGCAGTAGGAGACCTTGTTCTAAATTAAAATTTTCCTTTTGCATGCAAATGCTAATGTTAATTCTTGCCTAAACATTCTAGTGTGCAGAAGAACACTCAATTTCTCATGAGGATGGTGGCTTTACGATTTCTATGGCATTAAACCAGTTTGCATTGCAAGTGTAAGTTTGTTCTGCTCACTGAGCACTGATTTGCATGCCAGAGAGAATACTTATTGTTCCATGGGACTGTGCAGTAGTTCACAAAACATTTTGTTTCTAAGGGTGACTAAAGATGCTGGGTTTTCTTTGAAATATAAAGCCTTAATTGGGGGCAGGCGGGGGGGGGAGTGTAAACAAGGAAAACAACTGTGGACTGGGGGAAGGAGTAATTATCTAAAAAAAATACCCAAATTCTTTCTTGCCTCCAAATGAAAACCATCATGGCAACATTGCCCAAGATAGCCTGTGGTTTTGCTCCTAAAGTTTGTCTGGCTCTTTAGTTTTAGAAAGGCTGATGAGAACCTGAGAGAGATGGTCCTGGTCAGACACAGACCTCCCTGACAGAAGTATCCTTGCCCAGAATGACAGGATTCAGAAATCAGAAGTTAAAACTTTGTTTCATTCCGGGAAGATAGAGCTATGAATACCAAAACCTAGTAGGATGCTGAACAAATCCCTGCAGGGTGGACAAGGTGTTTGGCTATTTTTCTAGTTACTGCCCTGGTCATGGGTGTGGAAGAACTTCTTTCACTCTGGGGTCTCCATTTTCATTTCTTTATAGGCCTGTTTGGTTCTTTGTCCTTTGATGTTCATCTTTACCCCTAGGGTTTCAAATATTGTTAGTTCTACTTGGGTTCAGCCAGCTTAACCAAACATGAGCCCCTCTTTCCTTTCACTCCTGGTGACTGTACTCCAATTAGGTGCTAAGTAGTGCCACTGAATGACAGGTACTCTTGTCCCCAGCTCTGGTCAGCTGCCCCATTCCAGCTGGGAAGATTGCAGGACAATGGAGAGTGAATCAGACCATGGGAAGAACAACTGTCCATAGAAGAATT